GGGCGATTCGCAGGCCTCCTCCCTCCCATGAGATCCCAGATAAGTGCTTCCCGGATACTTTCAGAGTTCTCAGATGCTGCACACAATCAATCACCAGGTAAAGCATTGAAAGAAACATTTTTTTAACCATTTCATAAGATTTTTTAACCCCCACTTGAAATGCTTTTTGAAAATCAATAATTATATTGGTGATTATCATAGTTATATTATTTTAGTAATGTTATACCATACCAACTTTATTTATAAAGCACTTTAAAACAACCACAGCTGATACAAAGTGCTGTACATAAAATAGATAAAAACAAATAAAAACTCTTAGTTTAAAATAAACAAACATACAATGTGAATGAATATTGATTCTACTGTAGACTTTGCGAAGTATAGAAATTATATTTTATACTATACTGTTTTGATATACACACCTACCTCTCCAAAGGGTGTGTAGAACTGGACCACATTATATTCTTTGTCCATATTTGTGGCTCTGAGGGAACCTGCCACTGCCAGCACGCTGCCACAGTGGTTCCACTGGATACTGATAACGTTCATCAGAGCGTCGATATATACCGGGTCTGAGAATAAAGTAGTGTCAAGTGGCTGTTAGAAAACATATTTCTCACATTCAAAATCAAGGAGTGAAAAGGTTTTCGGTTGCTCACTCTCATCGTTCTCATAGCGCATGATCTGACACCTTCCATTGTCGAAACAGATGGCGAGACACGGACAGTCCGGTTCACTGTAACCCCCAGCTCCTGCATACCAGTGGATTCCAGCTAAACTGATAGCTCCGGTTGCCCCGGCGAGACAGCTGATGTTCATTTTCATCTGAAAAGTAACAACATTTAGAGTGAGCAAAAAGCAGACCGTGAAATTATTATATATTTTTTAATTGAGAAAGCATTCAGACAAACAGTGGGTTAATGTCACAATCGTTCTCATCCACAAGATCTTTTATAACCAAAACAAAGTGCAACTTATTAATCTTCTTCCATGACAACATAAAAGACTGAAGGTTGTGCAGTTCAACATGGCCAAGTTTTACAATATATACTCCATTTAAGTTCACACACTCACAATGAAGTTTCCTTGATTGTCATAAATATGTACTTCTCCATTGGCCATGCCGAACAGCAGGATCTTACTGTCAGGAGACCAAGCAACATGAGCAAGTTGACTCCCTTTCAACTCTTTTCCCCAGATCCGGTTGCCTACAAATGATACAAATACAAAATGCAAGAATCATATTGAAGATGTTTATATCCATTTGTTCATAACGCAATGAATAAATGAAACAATTTAATCTAACTAAAAGAGATCTTTTAGTTAGATTAATGATATGTATTGTTTTCACTTAAAGTAACAGTACCGTCCACCGATCCAACAATGACAGCCCCGTCTTCATACACAATGCAGATCTTCTGACCATCAGCGTTCCAGCTCATGCTCCTCACTACTGATTTGTTCCTGTTGTTAATCATCTCTTCGTACCATGCACCTCGGGACACAACAACGGCTGACAACTAAGTAACACAAATTCGCTACAAAGCAAACAAAATTTTGCTTTGGCTGTTCTCACTTTTGTATAGCATCCACACGATAATGAGTCCATTCTGGTCACTGGTTGTCAGTTTTTCATTCCGTTCATTCCAGGTCACTACCTGCACTGCACCTAAAGGGGTTTCAAATATTACAAACTTTAGTAGCAGTACAGCTTAAGAAGAAAGATATTGTTTTGCAAAATGTCCAACTACTGAGTCAGATGAAACTTATTATGTTATACTGTGATGCTAGATGTATACAAAAAGTATAAATATCACCTCACAAAAAATTATTAGGGAGCATTTCTTTTAGCATATAGATTAATTTCACTTCCTGCAAGAACAATCATGCAATATAATTCTGAGTACAATACTCACCACTGTGTCCCTCTAAAGTCTGATTCATGGACAGGTTGCTGGGGGCAGCAAGACCTTTCAGTTTACTGTCATCTAAAAGACAGTAAAACCATTAATGAGATGATTTATTATTTATTGTATGTTGTACAATATTAGGGAAACATATATTACTGGTAAACATTACATCTGTGTAACAATTTGTGAAACATAAAAACCCTTTTTGTACCTTCTTTTGTTTCTGTGATCACAACACTCAAAAATCTAATGTGACTGAGAAGTTAACAGTGGCCCATTTTATCACGAGAATGCAGAACAAAATGGGGATATAATTACCTCAAATCAGTTTTTTGCTTTATGGATTTTTAAAAACAACAATTTTGATCAACGTTCTGGTTACTATTTATAGAACAACTGAAGGTCTGTCCTGTCAATAGAGTGGTACCACTTGTGCTTGACACAACATTGAAACAGACCATTGAGAGACCTGTGGTAAGCCTATTAAAGTTTCAGCAGATTTATTTTAAACTGTAATGGCTATTGTTTTATTTCCCCATAATCTCAGTCACAAAAATGTTACGTAACATTTCATAAATACACTCCGACACATACAGAACATTAATCCTTACTACTATTACAACAGGTTTTTAGCTGAAGGTTGTGCTTTTTTGTATTCAGCAAACAAACTCATGCATTATTAGGTAATAATGTCGATATAAAAGAAACTCCCTCTGCTTCATTTTTCTATAAGTAATTTGCAAAAATATTCATACCTCTTAAACTATTTTACTTTTGCATAAAGTGAAATTCTGAATGTACTATACACTTCCAAATATTTCACAGTTTTTTGAGAGGTTTTTATTATAAGGTATCCAGATGCTTTCCCTGTCCAGCTTCCCTGCCCCTGCTTAATGTCACCACCATTTTTATTTTGTACTCTCAGGTTGTGTTCAAGTTGCTAGATTTCAACGTTTTGCTTCTTCATGACATCTTTTTTGTTTACTTGTGTTCTCCAAAACCTTCTTTCGATTAATTGGTAGATTGCAAGGAACTGAAAGTTACAGAACACATATAATACACCAGAGTGAAACATTATCTTATCATCAAACTAAATTCTCCATAACAGCTATTTTCCCGCTTGATAACAAAATAGTGTTTCAAGTTCTACTTACTGCTCTCTATCTCTTCCATCAATGACTATTCTCTAATTGCCTCGTGTACAATACCATGTCATTCTTCCTCTTTCATACGTTGCACTGCATTAGAACATATTTTATATTTTAACTACAGTTGTTCTTCTTTCTCCCCATAACACCCACCATATCTTTAAGTCTCCCATGATCAATTCATAGCATTTTATAATCTCTTCTGATATTTTTCTGATCATCTTTGACCCTCTAGTATTTTGTGAAATGTTCTTCGTTTCTGATACTTTTTTCACATTTTCTGTAATACTTCCATCCCTTTTATTAATAGCTGCTTCACCTTTCCCCAGATGAATTGCTATTCAACCTATAAAGCCTCCCCAAAACATCTATATTTCCTCTAAGAATAAAATACACACAGGTGGACTGTAAGAACAAATTAGATGACAGCAATTGCTCTGAATTTTATTGAGGAGGAAATGTTATACAGCTGATTTTCTTGTGTGAGGTTTGGCTTTGTTTGTCACGGAGGTTTTGGTTGTTGTTGTTTTATCACTGCACAAAGCAAGTAAGCCTGTAAAGAAACCGAACCCCAGTTTGACACTTTCGACTTACCCGTTTGTGTTTCAAGCTTCAACACTCTCAGCAGACCATCTTCTCCGCCACATGCAATGAACCCCTGGTGTTTGTTCCAGGACAGGCATTTCAGATGAATGTTGTTGGGAATAGCGATCTGCAGGACACAGGGACGTGAGAGGCAAGTTATTTTCAATATGAGTTTAACTGACATGCTGGTCAGTGGCAAAAACTGCTCACCTTTTTGCTGAGGTAAATGAACATGGTGGTTGCGGGATGATTCTAACTTTGACTTAAACATACGAACAAATGTCTCGATGAGGAAATGTAACTGTTAAACCGAGCTAAAATTAGTCGCGTGGCCTACGTAAATGCGTCGTTTTCACTGTGGCCAACACCGTTAGCTTAGCTAGGTTAGCTTTAAATACCTACGAAAACAAAAGGAAACACATGTTCGGTTTTTTTTAACATAATAAAGCCACTCTTTCTTTTATCAGAAATAACGATGGGTACAGCGTTTCGAAACAGTTCACAGTCGAAGTTTTACTGCTTTTGTTGATAGACTGGAACCATCAACGGCTTCAGCTTCCAAACGTCTCCCATGGTAACCGTAGACCGGAAGCATCAAGTATGTCGTTCTGCTGGTAGTTGTAGTTTTTCTCGTGGAAGTCCTGAGGCAGGAACATTTCGACCTAATCGTTGAAAAGTCTTGCTCGTTTGCTTGTTGTTCTAAATGGGATTCGGATTTGCAATACTTTAATTTATTATGTAAAAAGTAAAAAACATTGAAGCATTATAATTAACACTTGTTTTACTTAATTTCTGTGACTTCTGTAAAATACAATAAAATCGTTGTGCTGCAAGTTATTTTTTGCGTCTAGTTTTGCATGAAAGAATTTAAACATGCCGGACAATGTTGGAATTGTCTGAAACATTAAAAAATTAGAATTTTTAGAGCTCTTAAAATTAGGAATTTCTTCTTGCTACGTCTCCATGATAGTTATTTGTAGCGAGCATGAATAGTTGTCAACAGATTCCACCACTTGAGCCCTATAATTCTGGAGCTCCTCCAAACCAACCAGAGAGCTCTTGGATGCTTTTGTGATTATTTCCTCGTCGGTTTAAGTGGCCATATGATGTCAGGGTCTCCCTCATATCTTACTGTTTTCAGGTGATGGACAGTACAACAGTCAATGCTCAAATATTTGGATATCGTTTTATGACAATCATGCTTCAAATGACAGTACATTATCTTTCAAACTGCAGTGTTACTTTGTATTGATCCATTTTGATCAAATTAATGTTCTCTGGCAAACCTCTGGGGCCTTCACACATTTATTCTGATAAGAAATTACATACCATTCACTGTTAATGAAAACCAAAGACAGTTGATTGCACTTGATTTTATTTTAGGTTGTCAGAGGAAAGGGTCACAGTGCATTTTACACTTTTCAGCTTGTTAGCTGTAAGACAATAAAATCCATGTACTAATATCTTTGTTTTCATTTCACTTTTATGTGTTGGTCTAACAAATAAAATCCCAGTAAAATACAATGTAATTTATAGTTTGAATAAGCACCATATTGCTTATTCGAAGCAATGTGGCTCTCAAATAACAATACAGCCTGTTACATAAAACATGTATTCATGAAAATATTAAAATTTTGTTAATGAAGTCATCACTTTTGAGCACATAGAAAAGTAGCAATAAGTATCAACAGTAATATAAAGACTATGCCTTTACAAGAGTGAAGACAGTTGTGTGGAAAATGTTGATTCATAAAAGTTTATTTTATGTAGCCGTTCCCATTAGAAAACATGTAAATAACTGTTTTCTATTTCAAAAAGCACCAAAATGTATCATTCAAATGTAGACACACAAAGACAGAAAATGAAATAAAATAATTGTTTTCAGAAAATACATTCTCAAAACCTTTAGCTTGACATAATCTCTAATTAAAAGCATTGTTGCCAAGAAAACTGGGCCAGGTCTGAGTCATATTTGAACTCCGTAAACTATTTCACAAGGGAGTTCAACTTTTTTTTTTGTTTGCTAAAACAAACAAAAAAATCTTGACCTGCTTTTAGTAATCAAAGCAAATTATATAACTTTTAACTGGTTTATATAAGAAGACATAAACACAGTCCTGTTGAGTTGTCTTTTTTTTAATGTGGGCAATTACACCAGAGTTGCCATCAATGTGAGTTTATCAGAAACACAGCACCAGAGCAATTTGTTGTAACATAAAAAACACAATGCAAATTTTCAGAAAACATTAGGAAATTAAAACTTTTACAGAACATGATATTTTGTAACATTGATTGGATTAAAAGTACTGACATTTTTCCTCTACTTCCTCTTTGTTCTCAATCTTGGAATGTGCCTTCAATGTTGTTTACTTTGTCTGAAAGTTCAGAAAGTGAACAAATAGTCAAGGAAATGCTAATATTTAACTGCAAATTTAATGTAAAAATATATAATAATATAAACTGATCTGAAAGACTTGTCTTTAAAACCAATTTAAGTTGTAAAATGAAATCTAAATATATGGGCTCAAAAAAGGATATTTTTCCTGGTGAGCTCTTGAATGGCTGACTGCACTTTCTGCTGGAATACAATTTGAGCTTCGCACATGCAGGCATCTTCTGAAATTTCACTCCTCATTTCCTCTGAAATAATAAAAACACATGTCTGACGGGCAGAAAAAATGTTTGATCATCATATGCTGGATATATGACATAGCAGGTATGAAATTGATATTGGGATCAGAAATCAACGTTAGATGAAATTGAAAGTGTTATTTAATATAGGGTGGCTCAGATTATACACACAGTAGATTAGGTCTATGATGATTTTAGTTTAAGACAAAGATTAGTAGTCTTTCTAAAATGTTAAAAAGTGTAACCAATTACGACCTTAACATGCTTACTTAATGAGGTCCACCTTAAATGGGATATTAAAACACACAACATGTATTAAATGAAAAGACATCCAGACAAATATAAAAACAACATGTTAGTAATACTGCAAAGAAACCAACATTTTAATAGTTATACGTTTTCCTACAAGAACCCTTGTCTATAAACTGTGCAGAACCACTAAACAAACTGTTTATCAGTTTCTGATCTTTGTGTAGTTAAAACACATTTTAATTTAAAGGTGCAGAAATTATTTAAACCCAAATAGTTTTGGAGTCATTCCTGCTGGTAAAAAGCAGCTATTGACCCTTTTTGAAATAAAGTCAGTAATAATTTTTCAACTAATGGATTAAAAATAACCGAAATCAAGTACATGGTACAAAAATGTTAAGACTACATTGATGGGCAAAATCCCTGTTTGAAGTTAGGTTTTTCTGTAAAACCACCCTTAGCAATAACTATATGTAAGGTATTATCACTCTCTTAGATTGTTGTGTAAGGATTTCTTCTTTTCTCCAACATTTCTTCAAATTGTTTAGATTTGCAGATCTTTATTTATGCACAACTCTCTTTATGCATCACTATTTTTTGCTATTTTATTTTATCACACAATCTAATTTTGTAACCTGGACAGGTTACAAAACCTGTTTTGTAACCTGGACAGGTTACAAAACTAGCAACAAATTTGACTTTGTAATCTGACACCTTAAAATTGGACCTTTGTTCCTTTCCAACATTCCACCTTCAATAATGCTTTTCTGCAGATGTCAGTGGGACCTCAGGGGAGTGCTAGAAAAACTTTTTTCATATTATTTATCATGTTATGCTGTCACAACATAGTAGCAGTCTTGACAAATATGTAAAAAAAAGTGTACATATATTTTTTTATATATATAAAGTCACATACTGCACCTTTGATATGATCATTCTATGTAGAATTTGAGATAAAGCTCAGTTTTTTGTGTAATTTCTTTGAACATCGCATACTAACAATAGGGGTTAATTCACTAAGATACCACTACCTTAATAGGTTGTACTAAGTTCATCTTTCCCACAGTTGCATGATGGCCATTAAATTGTTTGGACATGGCCTTGCAACCCTTCCCTCAATAAATGCAAATAAATGGGTAATTTCTTTCTGCCTTAGCATTGTGGTAACACAGGGCTGTATTGACAGTCATGCTACTTTCCATGGACACCTCAACAGTTGTAGGGAAGCCCATGCCAGACTGTTTATTCAGGAAATTTGGAATTCCAAGAGATCATCTATAACCAAGCAACTTGAGGAGAGAGAACAGTGTGCCTTGAACACAGAAAAACTTACGTGAACATGTTTTCTGGTCTGAATTTAGTATGTATCCAACTCGACACTTGCAGTTGTAAGAAACACCGTTGTTGATACAGATATGCTGGCAGTCGTGTCCCTGAATACATGCATCCAAACCTGAAGGAAGACACTGAGTCAGTTTACTCTGCCCACGAACATGTTCTGCTTATTAAATTAATGTTTAGTCTATGACATAGCCTGTGAATGTTTGAATCACATGACTCAACAAATATAAGAGAAAAAAGTCCCATAATGTCATGTTTTTTTAACGTCAGACATTTAAACTTTTTTTTTTCTGGTGGTTGTTTTATTAATTTTTCCATTGTAGAAAAACAGCCAGATATAAATGCCAGACGATCTAAATTGTGGATGGAAAATAATCATCTGATCTATTGATTCTTTGCCCATAAAGAATCCATAAATTAAGAAAGCTATTGACCATGCCAGTTTCTATTATGACATCTGGCATAGTCATGCTGCATGTTTTGCTGCATTGGGTTTGCGCCAAACTGCTTTGCAACTTTGCTCCTCCAGAAAGGTAGTTTTGTTGTTATGATGCGGGGAGCATGAAAATTATTTCACAGAACAGCACTGACATCCCATTGTGTGAAAGAGTCACGGAAAGAGTTTTATAACACATTAAACATGCAAACAAGTATACATTGAGTTGACACAAGTTCCCTAAAAATAATTTTAGAAACAGAGAAGAAATCAAATTTTAAAGTCATCTAGGCCCAAGGTTGTCAAACTGGTACATAAGAATCACTGCTGGCACAAAGCCTGCTTTTATTGGAAAGACACATTTTGTCTTAATTTCAAAGTCAAAAGTTAACCAGTTAAATTTTATACATATTATTTGCAGTAAAAAAAAAAAAAAAGATAATTTGCATATAGATGTTTGTTTAATAAAAAGAGTGGGAAAAAAATTGCAGAGAATATTTGAAGACCTTTCTGTGGGAACAGAAGCAGATGACTGTAAGCAGCAAAAAGTCAGTGGTTGCTGTTGGTGTCTGTTAGTGCATAGGAGTCAAATTCACAGGAGTTAGCATGTGTTCTAGTACGAGGTTGGAAACCAAAGGGGATTTGCTGATTATTGTGCTTAGTGATAAAAGTAACTAAAACAGAGTACTTCTCTGCACTTGCAAACATTTTAGCATCAAATGTATACTAACAGGTGCCACAATTTTTTTTTCTGATCCTTTACCACCTTGAAACCTGGAAAATATACACTTCTGGAATTTTCTGTGAAAATCAAGCTGGATTTCAAGTAAAATAAAAATAAATTTGCTTACGTGAGCATGTCTTCCTGTCCATGTTGAGCGAATAACCCAGCCGACACTTGCAGACATATGAGCTTCCACTGTTCACACATACATGCTGGCAGTCATGTCCCTGAGAACATGCATCTGAGCCTGAAAAGAAAAGGAATCAGAGATCCCAGATATCAGAAATCCTTTTCTTTTATATATAAAGACATGACACTAAATGTAAAAATCAATATTCCATCTCACAAATAACTTTCTGAGACACAAATATAGCTTTGTCTTACGTGAGCAAGTTTTCTGGTCTGCATTTAACACATATCCCGCCCGACACTTGCAGACATATGATGCATCACTATTTTCACAAATATGATGGCAATCATGTCCAAGGGCACATGGATCATAACCTAGAAAGACACAAATTTGCATGAAAAAACATCTAGTGCTGCAATCAATTCTAGACTAACAAACGAAGAAATTAAAATAAGCGATGCAAAGCTTTAATGCAACAATATTCAAAAGGAACAGTAGACATATTATGTTTAGTAAAAGGAGCATAAGTTAAAATTGTTTGTGATATTTGGGATTTACTCTGTTCTTTTGAAACATTCTCACAAAAAAATCTATGTATCTTTATATCCCTATGAAACCTCAGCATAGCCACCAGCAAAGCATACTAAACGTGGCTGCAAGTTTCCTTACGTGAGCATGTTTTGTTGTCTGGGTTCAACAAATATCCTTTGCGACACATGCAAACATAAGAATCTCCATTTTTCACACAAATATGTTGGCAGTTATGTTCTGAAGAACATGCATCCACACCTGCAAAGAAAAACTTCCACATCAACACACAAACAAAAGTCTCCTCTGTATAGCCAAGCTAGAATGTGGTTTTAGAAATAATTTTGTATGTAAATCAGCGATACCTAGAAATCTTTTGCCTGAGTTCGAAGAAAAAGGGGGGAAAACAGACAAATGAGTAATTTACTTTTTTTTTGTCTCCGTCTAACACATGTACCACTAAACATTTGCATATTTGATAATCACCTTTGTTGAAACACATACATTGGCAGTCATTTACCTAAACTGGAAAAGAGGTACTGTCATGTTCAAACCGCTGAGTCACTTTGTATGACTGACAAAACCCAGAAGCAAGTAAAGTCTCTTGTAAAAGTGTTCATAATCATCTTACCTATTGAACTTTTTTACATTGCTACATCACAACCATAAACTTTACTGTGGTGGATAAACACAATATTGCATAATTGGTAAGTGGAAAGAAATGTAAACAACAAAAAAAGTTGTGCTGAGTCAATACTTTGTAAAACTAGGCTTTGTTATAGTTGAAGATGTTATGAGGTTTGTTACACATTCCGGCTTTTCACATCTAGAAACAGTTCTAGATTTTTCTTTGTAAAATAACTTAGGCCCAAAGTAACTTTGGTTTATGTTCATAGTCATGATGTTGCAAGGTGACAGTCCATAACAATCTCAAGTCTTTTACGACCTCTAACAAAGTTTTCTTATTTGATTAAGATATCAAGTACTCAGTACTATTTAACCTACATAACTACATATATTGCTTGGGTTGTTTGTTGTGTTTGCACATGAACATTTATTGCCAATCCTTACTTTAAGGCATCTGCAACAGCAAGTTCCAATTTTGCATCTACAAGCTGGATAACTTGAAGACCTTTGACTTCTGAGGCAAACTGGGACTTAAGACCCTTGTTCTTTGAAAATCAGAAAATCAATCAGTCACCACAGCTGAAACTTATGATCTTTTGAAATAATTAAATGTTCTTACGTGAGCATGTTTTCTTGTCTGTGTTCAACACATATCCAGTTCTACACTGGCACATGTACGAGTCACGGGTGTTGACACAAATGTGCTGGCAGTCATGTCCCTTGGTACAAGCATCTGCACCTGAAAAAAAGTCATTCACACATCAGGCTGAGATAGTTTGCTGTAATATGGCTCAAATTAGCAGAGACTTGCTCGTTTTTGTAACCCAGAAAATAAATGGTTGTCAAGTGAGTTGTTAAACTCTGTTACACATTTAATCCAGAACCAATGACTGTCTTTTCTCTGTCAGTAGAGCATCAGCATCTGGAGCTTTGAATACAGACCTTGAAGAGAACCTGCATACTCACACAGGTGGTTTAAACACGAGTTATGCAACCAGTCAGACTTATTACTAATTACAGGTTGCAGGTCTTGCCTCTTTGTTTTTTTATGCAAATTCACAACTGTATTACCCTGCACATGATAAGTACCATGAAGTGGACAAAGATCAGGAAAGTCACAGTTATACAAACTAAAAAGAAGAGTCAATATAGAACCTTAAAGCACAGATTTCTGTCAACAACTGTAATTTACTAGAGCACTTTTTTTATTATTTGGATATAATCTTAAAGCTAACTAAAGTCTGTTCAATATTTAATCTTAAGCAATGCTGAATACTGAGAGATAAGATTGATTTGTATTCTTACGTGAGCATGTTTTCTTGTCTGTATTCAGGATGTAGCCGGGGCGACACTTGCAGATGTACGAGTCGCCACTGTTGACACAAATATGCTGACAGTTGTGTCCTTGATCACATGGATCCAAACCTAAAAGGAAACACTTCACTGTCTGATTGGCTTATGCTTACTAAAATCACAGTAAAATCAGTTTTTCTTGTATTGTTTGGTTAGTCTGTGAGTATTTAGAAAATCTGCCACATGCAAGCAAGTTTGCGTGATCTTAGTCATTCAACAGAAGAGATGTTGTCTTGTGTGATTTGAATTTTAAGTATTTGTAAGAATATTTAAGGAGTTCAGTGTCTTTAAATTCCAATTACAGCCCATCCTTATATGAACCGTGCAGTCAAATAAAAAGTGAATCCAAGCACCAAAATTGTCTTCAGTAATCAATTTAGCATTGCAGTAAAACACAAGTTGTTAACACCGAAACCCCAAAATACTCATTAGAATCAATTGGATGTTCAACAAGAAGCTTTTTCTGTTAGTAGCAAATACAATGTACGGTAGATATTTCCAAAATATATCAGGTCTTTGTACAAACTCGCTATCTAATCTTGGCTGTGGAGAAAGATAGTATTTTTGAAACCAGTGATTCTATCCAATTTCTAAGGTTTGGAAACTTAAGCTGTAATCTACCAACAATCTTTAGCCAGATTTTCTAAAACAAAAGCAGAAATTGAATATGTTTAGGGAACGCTGCATGAGAGGGAGTGAAATCAGTTTTTAGACGACAGTTTTTAGTTTGAGAATCCAGTCTAGTTATTCAAACAAGGGTCATTTTTATCCCAAAATCCCTCCATAAATTTTAATTACACCCTTATCTTAACAGTAAGGCCTTGCAGTGTAAGTATAAATATTAAATAGAACTTCACAAATTAGTGCCATGCAATAAGTCTATGCTAAGAAGCAAACATAACCAGTTCTTACGTTTTTGAGCCAGAACTAAAATTTTATACTGAAGGTATTAGATTCAATACCTTTAGTTTTGAATTTAAGAGATAACATTATGAAGAGGCTGTTATGGATGTTTATGAGCTTAGCCTCAACAGAGTTCTTGATAGCCATGGTACGTGAGAATGAAGCAAAGTCAAAAAAACAAACAGTGTAAACTTAGAAATGGTAAACGGTGGTGGATCTGGGTCAGCGTGGCTCAAGCTTAAATGTTAAATTATACATTTTGACCTCAAAGTAAAGCTAAAGATTAAATAGGTTCAAGGGACCAGTTAGTCGGGGTATTTGTGATAGTGAATGTCATCGTCAGAAATGCATTTCATACTTAGTCTTCAGCACAGGTCCAAGCTAAGAATACATTAGCTTTGATGAAGTATGGTTGCTTAGCTGAGTTATATGCACGAAGCATACTTTCCTTAAACATACTATAAAAAGAATGAAATGAAATATTTTAAGGTATGGTTTAAAACTTGCTTAGGAAAGTGGCTGTGTTTAGTCAAGTTCTTCTAAATACAAGAGAATGGAAAAAAATGTCCAACATAAAAAATAATGCCAACAAAAAGCTTTGCCTTTTTTAAAGCTCTAATTGCAAAGCAGTTGCCTTTAGTGAGTTCCTGCTTTAGACGTCTTTTTAATGGCTTGCAGCACTAATTATAGCAGCAGCACATTTCTGTGAACAGAATAGACAGCATCATATTAAGTTTTCTACATTTTAAAGAATGTGGTCAGAATCTGAATTGTCTCTTCTTTAAGCTTGTTAGTGTGGGATTTATTATTTATGCTTAATGCTTACTGCATTAATACCACCAGTGTTTTCACAGTCCCTGGACATCTTTCCAGTCGCATGTCCAATAAATCATAAATTAGTGGTTGTTTTTGTGTTGTACTTAAAATTAAAGAAGAGGACCACTAGCCTTAAATGAAGATCCTCTCTATGGTGCTGCCCATATGCTCACAGGTGAATAGAATAGGACCGATCTGACATACCGTTGTTCCCTTCACTGTCACGCTTATTATCGTCTTTCCTGCCATTTAGGCCTAGTCCGTTATCAATATCTGCACTCCCATTATCATCATCCTTACCACACAAAGTTTCCCTAAACTTAGATGCAAGCTTCTCGATCACACCATAGGTCTCCACATAGAAGACATGGTCATCATGCGGCTGGCTGGCCATAAGTTTCAGGGAAGCCATATCAGCTCTGTCAACTCCCACTGCATAGATTTCAATCCCAGATTCTCTGGCCGTGGCTGACACCTCCTCCACCTTGTCCTGAGGTCTCCCATCAGTCACTATAATAGCCACCTTAGCAATGTTCATGGAAGCAGATCGGGCCCCGGCCTCCTTGGTGAAGGCTTTTTCCATGGCGGTCCTGATCGCCATGCCCGTCATGGTGCCTGAAGCTAAGGGCTCAACTTGGCCGAGTGCCTGCATCACAGAGGATTTGTCAAAAAAAGTGTTGAGGAGAAACTCAATCTTGACTGTGCTCGCATAATTAACGAGGCCGACACGAGTGGCATCTCTGCCGATAACCAGGTTGTCCACCATGTCCTGCAGGAACTCCTTGGCCTTTTTAAATTCAGCAGGGCGCACACTGCGGGAACTGTCTATGATAAAAACCAGGTCAATAGGGCGATTTTTGCAGTTAGTTCTTGTTGCTGTAAAAGAAAAAGAAAACAATTTTATTAGATTCATTTTCTGTTCTTCTTTTGGAAGCACAGAGAAAAACATTCTTATAAGGAAAAGTGAATTTGGTGTTTTGGTAGCTACTTGTGTTTTGACATTTGTGTTTTATGTTTCCCTGTTTATTTGATTGATTTTCTTATTTTATAACATGACAGCACACGTGCACTATGTCATCACTGGCATCCATATGTATTTTTCCAAGTTTTTTTTTGTTTGTTTTGTTTAAATTGCATAAGCCCAATAACAGAAGACAGATGTTCAAATATTATATTTATTTTACTGGTTGGTTGGTTGGTTGGTTGGTTGGTTGGTTATAAATATATATAGGCCTATATATATATTGTAAGAAAAAATATTTCACACAATTTTTTTGTACTTAGTTCTTATGTTGAGATGCTCAGTACCTGAACTGCTACTGATTGTTGCTGGAGAATCTCCAGCAGGCTGCAAGGAGCCAGATGGTGCAGCTTTATCCTGAGATGGCTTGGACCCATGAAACCAAGACTTAATGCCACCAACTTAACAAATTAAGAAAAGTGTGTGTGGCGGAAGAGAGCTAAATAGTGCAACAGACATGCATCGAAATTGGAATTGATTATTATTTAAGTGCTAATAAACCAATAAGAGTTTCTACTGCAATCGGATGTCAAGTAAACTCCTCACATATCTAAAAGCGCCTGGTCTAGCAGTTCAAATGACAGGAAAAGCCCAACCTGCTTCATTTCTCAGTCCCTCGTGCCTCAGGTAGATGTCGGCATCTTGCCGCGCGCCGCGCTGCAGCGGGACGCGTCTCACGTCGCCCCGCCGGACCCCCTGACTCTGCGCCTCTGCAGACGAGCCTGGCATCGAAGCCAAGTCCTGTGACAGGTCATAGCGCCCTGGAGACACCCGACGCTGTGGCCGGGGCTGCGGGAGAGAGCCCCGACAGCCCACAGCCAGGACACCAAAGACCACCACGTTCCACACTAACATAACCATCTCGACTTCGTCCAACTGGTTTACAGCAGGGCGCACTCTTATTTATATCCTGCACGACCACTAGCCATAAGGCGTGGAGAGTCGGGGATCCAATCCAGACCCTATGCGTCGTTAAATGAGGGTCAGTCCAACTTATCACAGACTAAAGACACTCTGAGTTTAAAGCCCCTTAAATATTTTCCACCTTTTTAAGTTTATATTGGGGATGATTTTATAAAAATGTTTTTGCATAAATAATAGTGTCTATCAAAAACATTTTAACCTCAAACTTAATTTTACTGGCTTGTATTCGACACCCTTTACTCTTATACCCCAAAGTTAAGTCAAATGCAACCAATTAACATCAAAAGCTACCTCTGTGTGAATGTAAATGTCACAATTAATTCACTGTAAATGTCCAGGGTCTTCATGTAACGCCTCAGTTGTTAACAGACTGTAAGAGAAAGAGAGAAAAAGAGACGTGAAAGCATGCAGGATTAGGTTTCAAAACAACTGCAGCACTGTGCAGTTGGTAGCATAGTTGCAAAACTATGTGTGGCAGTAAAGTTACAACTGAATGTCAGTGTAATGGTGATGATAGCGTCCGGCTTTTTGGATGTTTTTTTACTCCAGCTACTGGGAGTTGATAATAAGATGGATGGAGATAAATGCAAAGCTGTCCTGGACAAAATGTGTTTTAGTATGTGATAGACTTGAGAAGGACTCATTTTCCACATTAAAACACTGACATTTTAAATCAAAAGAGCTACATTGAACGAAGCACGCTGCCCTCTTATGGAGATTCGTGTGAACGATGGCAGAGATGATTCAGAGGCCCTCAAGGTAAAGTGCAAAGATGAATACCTTCATTGTTCAGCCTAGTTTATGTGATAAACCTCTGTCATGATGACTTGCAGTGAGGATGAACTGCGAATGAATTCTTCTTTGTGAGTGATTCAAATCACCTCTCTGCTTTCGTACCTGTATCTTATTCTCATGACATCAGTGGAAACCAGTCTGACAATGCAAATGACCCAGAGAAAACCTTATATGAGAAGAGTTTTCCAGGAGAAAGCTCACACTGCAGGAGTCGAAAGCACAACCTGCACATCTGATTCAACCATGTTTCTGTTGAAGCTTCTTGTAACGTTTATGAGTGTATTTCACTCCAGCGCTGAAAATATTGACCTGCATGCATACCTTCATGGGGACGTTATTATTGGAGGTATTTTTCCTATCCACCAACAAACCAACAGAACAACAGATCCTGGTCCATTATCCTGTGAAATGTACGTAAGTGCAAAAAATCCAATTACATGGCTAGAAATTGTACTGTTCATTTCATGCCTCGTTTTGTAGGTTTGATAATCAAACATTCCTGCGCACCCAAGTGATGATCTACTCTATTCAAGAAATAAACAAACGAATGCCAAGACTGCTGCCCAACCTCACCCTTGGATATGACATTTATGATACTTGTGGAGATGTCGGCCTCGCCATCAGAGCAACTCTGCAGCTGCTGAAGAGCCAGTCAGACCCTCAGAGGTGTCTCATACCTGAATCCATCAATTCCTCCTTACCTGAACCCGAGACAAAGGTGGTTATTGGAGAGAGATCCTCTGAGGTATCCATAGCAGTTGCAAGAGTACTTGCTCTACCCTCAGTCACACAGGTTTGACTCTCACTATGTTTTATATGTTATGCAACAGCCCTTTACATTTAAATATATCGATTTGATGCATGCCAGATTATGACACTGAAATTTAATAGAATAAGATTTTGAAAATTTTTGACATAACTGTTTCCACTTTTACTGTTTCATGTAACTTATACAGTAAGACTGAAAAACAAACAAATCTGTCTGAAAGTAAAATATGATTTAAAAAAACTTGCAAATTGTAGTTGCAAAGGTATGCACACTAAAGCCAAAACATGATCCAATTTTGACTCCAGGTTTTCTTTTGTTTGAGTCTGTCACCATCCCCCATTTGGACCTATGAATATTATCCAGTGCTTTGCAAAAGTTCGCAAAATATTTCAAATTTTGAAACAATGTTTTAATTTTAACTCCACAGATTTTCTGCAAGAATTACCTTTGAACTCTGACTTGATCATTCCAAGACTATAAGTTTGTTCTTGTGAATTCATATATTTTTATTATTATTATTATTATTATTATTATTTGAATGTCTGCTTGTACTCATTGTGGTACTAAAAATATATATATATTTGTCAGCTTTCTAACACTCATCTGAAGATTTGGGGGTAAAACTGACTTTTGCATGAAGCTGTTCATGATTTCATTCTCTTTATCAAAACAGCAACATGAAATAAAGCCCCCCTCATGTTTCACAGTTTTGAGGATATTCTTTCAGCCTGGCAATTGCCTCCTCTGTAACTCTGTTCACTCTGAGCGTTCTCTTGACTTGGATTGTCTCTGGTCGATTTTTTACTGGGTTAATCAGAGAAGGAGAAGTTGCGAACAATACAACACATTTTCTGTGTTGTTTTAGAATTGCAGTCTGCCTGTAGTTTTATCAATTCCAGGCTACATTGCTACATTGACCAATCCGTGTTGATCACGCTTCCAGATATTGTACGAAACAAATAGCATAAAACAAGTGGCTGTTTTTTTTTTTTCCAGCCTCATAGTCTTTTGTTGGTGTGTTTTGTTGTTTTCATGTCAAATGTACCTTTCAGGCTTCAGGTAGCCGAGGATAGGTGTTTTACCTATGAGGACTCAAGCAGCGATTCAGCAAAAAAAATAAAAATTTAAGTGTGCTCACACTTACACAACCAGGTTATTTATGCTTTTTCATTCTTTACATTTTTCCTCAGGCAGATTTCCTTGTTTTTCGGTTGAACTGAACAGGATACTTGTCACATTAATGGAGAAGAAAATGTCAATCATTTATCTGAAAATGTATGAATTTTTACATGGATGTTTAGATTTTTTATATTCTCTTTCATTGCATCGCTGCTCTCCACAGATTAGCTATGCGTCAACCAGTGAGCAGCTCAGTTTAAAATATAAGTTCCCCACCTTCCTTCGGACTGTTTCCAGTGACAAACATCAGACGCAAGCCATTTATGAGCTGGTGAAGAATTTTTCATGGCAGACAGTCGCCATTGTGGGAAGCATTGATGGATATGGGAAGTTTGGAACCGATAGTCTCCTGCAACTTTTCAATGACAATAATATTTGTGTTGACTTTGTGGAGATTCTCCCTGATGCCTTTGATACCAAAGACTTTACAACAGCAAGCGATCTGCTGAAAAGAATTGAAAATTCTACCGCTGAGGCCATCATCATTTTCACCAAAGAGATCAATGTTCGTATCATCCTTGAAGAAGTTGTTAAAAAAAAACTCAGCAGAACCTGGATAGCAAGTGACACCTGGTCCACGTCTTCTACGATCTCTGAGATGACAGGAATCAAAAGCATTGGTCCAGTTTTTGGTTTCATTTATAGACAGAAGGAGGTGCCAGGCTTTCATGATTACGTCACCTCGATGTTTAATGGAACTTCAAACAACATTTTGAGTTATTATCAAGTTGTCACAAACAGCTCCAAAGATGACATGAAATGTAACTGTGCGGATAAGACTTCCAGCATAAACTGCTTGTACTGCTACATTGATCATGATGAATCCTACAACATCTACCTGGCCGTCCAGGTCATTGCTGAGGGCCTGAGAGTCTTACTAAAATGTAACAATCAAAGCTGTGAACGGACCAAGTTTACTGCTATTGAGGTATAGTAAACAAGTTTCTGTGTTGAGTCATTCTTTACAAATGACTTTTTATATGTATCGTTTGTTTTTCAGCAAATATAAATAATTTGCTGAATTATTTCATTCCTGTTATTTATATTGCCTGTAGAGGTAGTTTTGGACACTTGTCCTCAAGACAGTCAAATTACACAATGTTCTGACATGGAGTATATAAATGTCAGAAATGTCAATGTCTGGTGCAAAGTCTTAGCATATTGAATTAATTTTATTTCCATAACTAAACTGTTATTATGGTAAATTAATAATGATGTTGGACCAGTCTATGTGGTCTGTTTTTGTCTGTAAATATGTTTAAACTGCAATTCCACAACAAGTAACATTGGCCTAAAAATTTTCTCCACAGCTTTTTCATGCAATTAGGAATCTCAACATCACTGTGAATGACACAAATATCTACTTCGATGAAAACGGAGATCCCAGTCTGGGATACGACATATTGTTTTGGAACACATCTGAGTCCAAAGAAGGTGTTGAGAAAATAAAAATCGGAGAATACTGGCCAAATAAAAACATTTCATTTAACACAAATGTATCACAATGGAGAACCACTGGAAATGTAATATGACATATATTAGCCAATAAAATAAATAGCCCATAATCCTGTGCTAATCCTATTGTCTCTTTTACAGGTTTCTGTTTTCAACTGCTTCAAAACATGTCAACCCGGACAAATAATGGATTTACGTCAAGGAAAATGCTGCCACAGATGTGTTAACTGTTCATTACAAGAGTTTTCATATGGAAATGGTCAGTGTTATCTTTACTATCTACTATGTTTTTTTTGTTGCTTGAAATACATTTTTTTTCCTCTTTTATTTCACTTGCCATCAGTTTGAGGCCGTTAGCTCAGAAGCAATGGGTTTGCATTAGGACAATGATCCAAAGCATACAATCGTTCCCCCTCTTTTTCCCAATCTTACAGGAAAGTACAGCCAGTGTTTTTCTTTGTTTTTTATATTCTTTCTCTTTGTCTCCTTCTGCAGATTCTACTTGCAGAAAATGTAAAGAGTATGAGTTCTCACCAGAAAACCGCAAATATACTTGTGAGAATAAAACTGAAGAGTTTCTTGAGTGGTCAGACCCCTTCGCCATCATTCTGAACATGGCATCTGCTATTGCAATTATTGCCACTGCAGTGATTACTATCATCATTAGCCTCAACTGCTGGACTCCCATTGTCAAGGCAATTGGAGGTTGCCTGTGTTATGTGGAGATTGCCTCCTTGCTTCTCGGCTTTTGCACTACTTTCACCTTTATAGGAAAGCCCACAAAAAATTCCTGTTTAGGCATTCCTCTGTTCGGTATAAGTTTCTCTCTGTGTATCTCCTGCATTCTGGCCAACTTAATTCAAATCCTGTTAGGTTTTAGCTTTGACCCAAGGGTTGGTTCTAAGATTAAGAAGCTTAATCATCCGGTAGCTGTGGTTGTCATCGTCTCTAGTGTGCAGGTGGGTATATCCTTAGCTTGGCTATTTGTTGTCCCACATCTTCCTTCAGAGCAACAGAAAGCTACCTCAATATTGTACCAATGTAATATGAGTGAAGATTCCAAAAAGTTTTTTGCTGCCACTATAATCTACAACTCTTTCTGGGGCCTTGTGTGTTTTATCTTTGCATTCAAAGGTAGACAGCTACCCGACATTTACAAAAATGCCTCATTGATATCAGTGAGCATGGTGCTGTTTTTAATCATATGGATTGTTTTCCTCCCAATTTATATCACTTTAGAAGGAAAGTACAAACCGGCTATAATCAGCGCAGCTATTCTGATCTCTTGCATCAGCATCCTTGGCTGTCACTTGGCCCCCAAGTGTTACATTATGTTGTTCAGGAAAGAGATTAACAATCAAAACGCTATCAGTGAATATATTAGGAAACATTATGAGAGGAAGGAGATGTCTGTGATTTCATAATCACCCTTGCTTGCCTTTGTTACAAATGAGTTGTAAAATAATATAATAGAATCCAGACATGCACTGTATGCAAAGAAAAAGTCAATCTTTTCTTCTTATTGTTTGACTTTAAATCGGACCAAAAGTTAGGTAACCTAACTAGAAAACTTTACTTTAAAGTGAAAGATGGGAAAAGAGTGAACTGAGTACTCTGTTGATATGGACTCTCTCTCACTGAGAGAGTAAAAATCCACCACGTCATATTGTAATGCGTCATGTTGTTGGGTATTCTATTGCAGGCAGAATTGGGGCATTTCACAAAATAGATGGAATCACAAGGAATGAAAGTTATGTGGACAAACATCTCAAACCAGCAACTAGAAAGTTTAAGATTTTGACACAAATGGATCATTCAAATGGAGAAATGACATAATATTCCCAGTAAATTAGTTACAAAATGGCTTAAAGACCCACATGCTGAGAATACATATGTAAACTTCTTGATTTTCAAGAAAGTATAAAAAAAATTCTTGCTCATTGAAAATAGTTAGCAAAAAGTTATTCGGTAAGCCTGACTGACCTAAACTGACAGAAGTTTAGTCTGACATAACAGAGTGAGAAGCAAAGGTGATGTCTTTTGGGACAGGAAGTGGATCTTGATGATTGCTATTCTACTGTAAAAAACGTCGACTGAAACTAGTTTTCTTCTCTTACCTCTATTGAAATTTGGCAGTTGCTTTTGGTAAAATTTCAGGTGCAACAAAACAGAACCTGAGTTTTGAAAGTAGCTATGAATTAGTAAAAAAAAAAAAAGAAAAGCAGATATGATGCAATGCTGGTTGCAGGGCTAACCCTGGGAAGCAGAGTGGAAAGAGAGCAAATCCCACCACAATCAGGAAACAAGCACAAGATAGAGAATAGAAACGAAGTCTTAAACAACAAGAAGCAAACCTTCTCGGTTGTAAAATTCTGGTTTAAAACTGCTGAAAAATTTTAATTTTTGATATAATGACACAGTTTCACTTGTATGGTGTAAATTAAAGTCTGTTGTGTTATAAAATCTAATTAGCACTTCAAATAATGAAAGCAAAACCTTAAAGTTCACAGACATGTACAAAAAAAGTTAACTGTGACAAATAGATCAATTTAATTTAACTGAAGCAACAATACATTTGCACCTTTAAAGTTGTATATATTTTGTTGAGCAAACAAACTCTCCAAAACTGGATTTGTGTTTTCAGGGCACGCTAACTGCATGGAAAAAATGAAATGCAAAACCTGTGTGCAGAGTAAATGTATTTGTGGAAGCGTGCTTCCTCTTTCTGTGGAAAAGCGTGTGCAGAAAGCTTGAATTTAGCTATCTAATCAAGCTCACATCATCACTCGAAAAACAAAGCCATAACAATCTCCTTCCAGTCTGTCATGCCTGAAAGGACAAAAAACATGTTTATTTATGCTGCTGTTGGGAATCTCTGGGATCTGTTTGTATTTACGGGTATTGTAAGTAACTTCTGCTGTAAATGACAGATAATATATTATTATATACTGTAATATGAAGTTGGACTAATTTCACACTTTCATCTGTATTGTTATTCCTATGTTATCAAATATTTTTGCTATTGGAAATAAGGGCATTGATATACCTGTTTTTTTCTGTAACATGTCAATAAGGAAGCTTCTCAGTTTGTTCAAAAGGATGAATTAAAGCTTTTGCATGATGCTATTTTTGAGCAGGCTTGGTTTTTAATTATTTGTTTTATTCCATATTCTTTCATCTACAACATGATCATTATCTAGTGACTCTCCAAAATACACAATTTGCTGCATGTCCAATTTTCTCAGATTAAAGCACCAGCAGGAGGATGCTAGTTAAAAATTACTTTGAAAGTAATAAATAACAAAAAAATGTTCCTTCCTGAACAATTTATTAATAAATTGTTAAAATCTTAAATATAGAAAAATATTTGAAAATAATTTTAAATGTGTAAATTATTAGATAACATTTATATTAGCCTATTAATACTTAAACTACACCTAATTATATAAAACGGTGTCTTTAATTCCCTTGATTGCCTTCACACATAAGATCACACATTACATTAAGAAAATCTCAAGACTGACAAAATAAAACATCACAAATTGTGGATTCCACCTTGTGATCAACGCACATTGCACCACTGCTGGAAGGGTTTTAAAAAACTGAAATAATTATCAGTAGTGGTATTATGCAAATATTGATGTGTAAATGTAATTTTCTTTGCAATTATATTTTTTATCATTGAACAAAAAGTCGCAACAATTCATTAGTCTTATTACTGCCTAGTACCTTTTATCATGAGTTATTTCCGTTTAGTCTTAAGAGAAATTCAACATGTGAGCACCAGATGGCACCAGAGTTGGTGATTCTGTAAAAATAAATGTTGACATATGCACTCTTAAAAAGAAAAGCCAAGATTTGGTTCTGCACCTAATATTTATTAAAAAAATACAAAACTTCCAAAAGTTTCCATAGGAAAGCGATATGAAGGTGCTATCCCATCTCTTTCATATCCAGTTTACATGCATGGTCAAACTTTGTCTGAGTCTTGTTAATATCATGAACATACATATTAATATTATTGAAGAGTTACCACAACGTAAGGGAAAAAAAATAAAAAGGAGAGGAGAGTGTTGTTTGCCGTTTGAGTCCCTGTGTTTAAGTGTTAATCTTCAAGATTTTCTTCTACTTTGAGAATCCGTTTTTGAATACTACCAACCCAAAATTTATATGAACACTTTCTGAAAGACTTAAATTGTTAGACTTAAGTTACAGTTACATTGAAATAAAAACACAAGATGCTTAAGATCTTGAAGACTAACACTTGCAATGTTCTGTTCAGAAGTAGAGCTCATGGAAAAGATAATTATAGCAGCCATTTGAGGATCTTTATCCCACCTCTGACCATTGCTTTGTGGGCATCAGATGTGACTAGTTGCTAGCGGTGAAATACCCTGACCTAATAACGTGGTGCAGGTCAGTTAGCATAAATAAGGTCTGGAATTTTGTTTATGTTCCCAACAACCAACAAACCACCTCAATCTCCAAATACTGTCATTGCTGAGTCCTTCTGACATGTGATGACAGTTCTTTAATTTAGAACTTTGTTTTTTACTTTTTTCCAGTTCTGACAATAAGCACATAATTAAGTACCTCATACAAACATTAGAGGACAGCAGCAAGTTATATTAATACAGAGCTGCTTGTTACACCTCATCCCACAGAGATGGTCCAAGGTGTGATTCAGCCTCAGTCAAAGGTTGACTCCCAGCTTCTGTACAGAACACTGAAATATGTGCAACAACATCCCCACTTCTTTTTTCCAGTTCTGACAATAACTGGCCCCAAAAGTTAGCTTGAGAACTATCTGCTTAGTTTAATAATAAAAAATAATAATAAAATAAAACAAGAATAAATCTAAGGAAAACAGCTTCTTTCTGTAGCTGGTCTTAAACCACATGGGCATGGCAAGGCTTAGTGGGCATGTCCAAGCTGCTCTCTCGGCCACAGCATGCTGGAAGGTCGAACAAGGAGGACTCCTCTACTGGAGCTGGAAGGCCCTGGGAGCAGACTTGCTGCACATATTGCCTAAAGGTGAAATGGGCACAAGTTATCATTTCAAAAAAGGAACTTTAAAAACTGTAGAATTTCCTCATGAGTTAATTTCTAAGACAAAAACTCACCAGGCAGGACGGGACATGACATAGTAAATTTCAGGCCTTTGGAAGCCGTTAAAGGTGGAGGAAGCAGCTACAGTGTAGGCACCCATGTTCTCAAAAACAAGCCAGTCCCCCACCTGGAGGTCAGGCAGGGTACACAGTTCCACGATCCGATCTAGACCATCACATGTAGGGCCCCATATGCTGCAGGGGTACACCACCTCATCTGGTTTTGGTTTCTATAAGAAACAATTGGAAAAAAGTTTATAAAGATCTGGTCAGCATTTTTTTTACCGCCGCAATGATAAACTTTGAATCTGACTGACCTTATGCAATGTTGGCAAACAGTGAGCGTGGTCATAGAGGATGCAGTTAAAGGAGCCATACACCCCATCGTTGACATAGTACATCAGAGTTCTGTCATTGGTCCCTTCATCTTCCTCTGCCAGAAAAAGGTAAGCAATTAGTTTCATTGTGATTATTAACTGAGATAAATAAATATCTCAGTTGTCTTTTCAACTGAAGCCCTTACCATCTGAAGATGATTCGTCATCCATGATGACCTTCTTAGCAATGATATTCACCACTAAAGTGTAAGCAGATGCCACGTAGAAGCGTCCCGGCTCAGCGATGACCCTGACCCCGGAGTCGACGGGAAAGTACTTGTCGAGGGCTGTGTTGATTACTACTGTAATCTATAAATAAAAATGAGCCCACACGTATGTAAAATTAAATTTTACTTAAAAAAAACAGAAGACTCTGGTTAAACAAAAACATTTCACTCTACCTCTTCAAACTTCAGTTCAGTGTCATCCGAACCAGGAAAACCTCCTCCAATGTCCAGGAGATCCATGTTGAAGCCAAGCTCTTCCTGCACGTCCAGACATTAAGTTTAGGCTTCTTTGCAGACCAGAAAACATAAATTACAGCTGAATACGCTCTTTACGAGCAACTCACCCCCATATCAAAGACACAGCGAGCATCTGCAATAGCTTTGGTGTAGGTCTCTGCATCAGTGCAGCCACTGCCAACATGAAAACTGACACCGATCACATCCAGCCCCAGTTTCTTCGCCCGCTCCAGGAGACCGCGACAAGCTTTGAGCGGAGCACCAAACTTCACACTGAGGCGGCACACAGCCTTCGAGTCATCTGTGGCGATGCGCAACACCAACCTGAACGGAGAACCCAAAAGGCTTTAACAAAGGCCAAAAATCAAAGTCAATTGTATTTAAAAAGCAAAACTCTTACTTGGCATTGTCGTGACAACGGGCCACTTTCATGAGCTCCACTTCACTATCAAAGGTCATCATTTGGACTCCGTGTGCAGATGCATACTTTATTTGTGAGACCTGCTTGCAGGGGTTGGCATAGATTATTCTGCTTGGATCCACTCCCAGGGACTGAACAAGCTGGATCTCCGTCTGTGGGAGGACAATACCAACAGTCAGCAAAAAACGCAGGAGGCACCAATGCACTTTCAGCTAATAAATAAATTGTGCTAACAGCATTGATGGAAAGCTCCCAAAGCCTACCTTGCTTGCACAGTCGAAGCCAGCTCCCAACGATGCCAGAGTCATAACTACAGCCTGGCTGTCGTTGCACTTAACGGCATAGAAAGGAGTAATGCGAGGCAGAGCTCTTGCCCAACGGAGATGTTTTCGTAAAACATCTCCTAAGTCACAGACATAGAATGCATCCCGATCATCCTGAAATAGAAAAACAAAAATAATATTCTAGATTACCTTTATCAAACATGGATAGTGAATTAGACCTGCTTATTACAGGCAAAAACAATTCTACAATTGAATCACTTGGACAAAGCTATCTGGTTTAATCAAAGGTGCAGATTTTCAGAGTAAATCCTGCTGACAAAGCAAATCAGGCCATCTGTTCATTACACAAACCCCACCGGATACTTACTGTCAAGGACGACTCATTGATTTTCTGCTCAACAATGTCCCGAGCAGAGAAGCCCTCTTCAAGAAAGGAAAATTCAAATTTGTTGGGTGTGGTGGTGTTCATCTTGATCAGTACTTTCAATTTGTCACAC